TGACCTCAGAGGACCATGTGACCCCAGAGGACCATGTGACCCCAGAGGACCATGTGACCCCAGAGGACCATGTGACCTTATCCATGTGACTCTGTGTTGAATCGGCAGTTTCTTTTCTCTCTTTGGCCGTTAAAGTTTTCCTGGTTGAACTTTGTTAAATGTGAAAGTGACCTGATGTTCGGATGTCCATCAGACCCGGTATTTGAACCAGAACCGCTTTGCAGTAAACGAGTTGGAACAGAGCGAGTAGCTGCTACAGAGGAACCTTGAGCGGAGAGCAGGGTTCTGTTTGGACTGATGGAGAGCAGACTGTTGTGTCTGGTTCCTGAGGCTCACCTTGAACTAACCCAACCAGAACCAGAGCCGCTAACAGATGTTAGCCAGGCTGTGTGTTCATCTGGGGAAACTCTGCAGGAGGTCTGGGACAAACAGAGCAGCAGCAGAGGGGGAGGGGGAACTATTCACACCCTGGAAGGTTGAAATGATTTTTCTGGCAGAGCTGAGGCATTTATTAAACGAATCAAATTCAAAACTGTGTTATCGATTCCAGAGGGAAACGAAATGTTGTCATAACTCGCATCAAATCATGTCTTCAGTCTCCTGATGATGTTTCACAGCATCATGTCCTGAAGAGTCCAGCAGCTCTGCTGACCGTCCTCCTTTGCTTTTGCTCCATCTGGTCGTAAATATTTAAAACTTTTTATTCTCAGGTGTTTGAGGCTGGAAGCCTCCTGACCATCACCCTCATCCAGCCTGGAGGGGAAACACCTGCCAGGGTATGAATACTTCTGGGTTCCACTGGACTTGTTAGCCGCCATCAGCAGAACAGAACGAAAGTCACATGATTAGAAGAGGAACCAATCAGCAGCAAGCGAAAGGGCAAAGGTCATTGATTCAGTTCCTGTCCACTCTTAGTTCTGATTGGACTTGGATGTGTTTGGTACCGATCCGGTCTGATTTGGACCTGCTGTTCCTGAGCAGATAAAGTAGGTTCTGACCAATCAGAGAGGACCTCAGTCCATGTCCACCCTGACCTCTGACCCCTCCCCCACAGAGACCCACTCAAAGCTCTGTGGGGGAGGGGCGGGGTGAGCGGGGGAGGGCGGCCGATCGATCATCACCAATCAAAGCTTCATTTAGCCATATTTGGTCGTACTTCCTGCTTCACCTCAGAAGAAACACAAAGTTCAGCAAGACACACAAATAAAACCCAACAGAACCAAATAAAACCCGGCAGAACCCAGTAAAACTTCTGAAAGGAAAAGTCTGACCTCTGTGCTGAGCTGCAGCCCGCTCCATCAGAACCATCATCAGCAGCAGAACCTTCATCTTCACCAGAACCCGGCGGTCCAGCAGTCAGAATGAAGCCCAACTGCAGCTGAACCAGAACCGAAACAGAACTGGACTAGAACTGGACTGGAGTCTGAGATCCAAATGAAGCTGAACTGTTAACTGGGAGAGAGGAAGCAGCTCAGAGGAATGTGTTTCTGCAGAGACTCCCCCCACAACACACACACACACACACACACACACACCGCCCGCCTCCATTCATTCAGCTCTATGGGGATGGAGGGGGGCCGGCATGTACCATCTGACCCGATACAGGGGGTTTGGTTCTGAGCCTCTGTCCTCCTGCAGGGGGCGCTGCTCAGGAGCTTCTGCAGAACCTAAGCCGTCCAGTCCGGGTCTGACACGGAACCAGTGGCCTCTGCTCTTTATTGATCTCTGATTGGTTATCCAGATGGACTCATCAGAACCAACCAGTCCAAACTGGTCAATGCAGAGGAACTGCCCAGGAAGACTGTCAGAACCGGACCAGAACCAGGTCAGAATCGGACCAAAACCAGGTCAGAACCAGAGGAACAGAACTCTACAGACAGGAAAGGGTTAAAGGTCATAAAAGCTGCTCTCACAACTGTTCTCTATTGTCTCCTCTGGTCCAGAACCGGCAGTTCAGAACCAGACCAGAACCTCTGACGTTGGTCACCAGGAGGAGCCGTGGGTCCAGCAAGGAATCCGACCAAAGCCTAACTGGGCTCTTCAGCTCTGACCTCCAGCTCTGACCTCCAGCTCTGACCTTCAGCTCTGACCTCCAGCTCTGACCTCCAGCTCTGACCTCCAGCTCTGACCTCCAGCAGGAATAGAAACCGTCTGATTATTTAATCAGATTACTGAGGAATATTAAAACAGAGGCAGAGACAAGATTCTTCATCGATTCATCATTTATTGATCTGTTATCAGAGATAAACTCAAGGTTAAGTCACAGATCATTCTGAAAAAGTTTAAAATCATCAGTGTTTTAACTCCAGTCCAGAACCGGTTTATTTCCATCCGACCCAACCTCTGGTTCCGGATCAGAACCTCGAGCAGCAGCTGGTCTCTGAGTTCAGAGGAGAATCCCAGAGGAACATCTGGAGCAGCTGCAGAACCTCCTCTGGATGTTTCAGCTCGATCAGATTCTCTGAGGTTAAATCCAAACTGTTAGTAAACGAAGTCAGAATGAAAAATCTACATCATGAAGACGAGTCCATCATCAGCTCTTCCTCTTCCTCCCAGAACCGGCCGGGTTCTGCCGGTCCCTCACAGTTTGGCTTTGGCCTGGAAGAAGCTCATGACGGCGTTGAAGCATTCCTCTGAGGTCCAGCGCTCCATCAGCCGCTCCACCTCAGCGTCGTTGACGGCGTAGAGACGTTCCTTCTCCACGGACCGGATCAGCTGTTTGGACAGCGCCAGGGACTGATGAAGAAAGAGACGCTGCTGTTAGAACCCGGACATCCTCCAGAACCTCAGTTCAGCTACTGGTGTCAGCAGAGCTCGTCCTTCCACTTAATTTTATCCACTTTGTGGAATGAAACCAAAACTAAGAAGCCCTCAGCATGATGCTGCCGCCGCCATGCCTGGCAGTTAGAGCATTGTTGGCCGGATCCAGTCAACAGTCCTGGAGAACCACCAGGTATCATTACTTAGACCAGTAGGTTTGTGAAGATGACTGAACATCATCCATCCATCCTCACCTGGGGAGGCAGCCGGGCGTAGGCCTTGAGCCGGGTCCAGACCTCGGACTGGAAGCTGGTGTCGGGGAAAACCTCTGTGATCAGACCCAGTTCACAGGCCTGGCTGGCCGTCAGCTTCTTATTGAACAGCAACATCTCACTGGCCTGCAGAGACAGTCAGAGACAGAGACAGTCAGAGACAGAGACAGTCAGAGACAGTCAGAGACAGAGACAGTCAGTCAGTCAGAGACAGTCAGAGACGGTCCGGCAGCAGCTTCAGGTTCTGGTGATCTGCGCCGGTACCTTGGTGGGGCCCATTATCCTGGGGAAGGTGTAGGAGGAGCAGCCCTCGGCGCTCTGACCCAGCTGGGTGAAGGGCGTGTGGAAGGTGGCCTGAGAAACATCAACACGGTTTCCATGGAAATGGGTCAGAACAGGAAACTAAACTGGACTTCCTCTCCATCGCATCCTCATCTCTATTCCAGGAATTCTGGAAAACTAGGACTAATTTTACCAAAATAAAATGTCTTTACTGTCATTAGAGCACAGCGCCATCATCTGGTAACTAAAAAACAAACATATTATTCATAAAGGATAATGGAACCGTTTCTGTACCCGCTCTGTGGCGTAGATCAGGTCAAACAGTCCCAACACGGTGACAGAGATCCCTACAGCCGGGCCGTTCACCACGGCAACCAGAGGCTTCGGGAAGTCGATGTACGCCCTGACGTACTTCCTGAGGAAACACAGACGGCCTCAGGTGGACCAGGTACTGCAGTCAGGAGGTGAGGTGTTCATCAAGAACCCCATAAAGTGGTCACTGAGCTGAGGATCTACGGCTCCACAGAGGCCTGACCCGGGACGTTTGGGTACCGGACTGAACAGAACCCTCAGATTATTCCGGTTCTGCTCAATTAGTGGTGAAAAACATGACGATGTAGCTCAGTGAAGGTTCTTATTGGAAAATAGATTATAGAAGAACAACATGGACTTGTGAGAGGGCAGAAAACAGGAGGCTGCTGCCCCCTGCTGGACTGAGACTGAGGGAAATGAAAAGCAGTTTTATAGTTATCTGATGCAAACTAAGCTTCATTAACACTTTCCTGATATATTAAAGTAGAAAGTTTTTATTAAAGTGTCTGACAGCTGCAGATGGAATCCTCTTTGCTCCTGATTCAGTTCTGCTGTGAGAACCCAAACACAGAAAGTCGATTTTTAAAAGGTCAAACTGACAGAAATCAAACGGGTTGAGTGTCAGCCAGTGAAACTTTCTGAGCAGGTTTTCTGTCTGCAGCTCAGAGGAACCTCAGGTGTTGCCCACCTGAGCAGCTCTGCTCCCTGCCTGGCCATCTCCTGGACGCCTCCCTCTGGGATCTTGGTGAAGGTGGACAGGTCGTTCCCGCTGCAGTAAAAGTCTCCAGCTCCTTCAGAGAGGAAACAACAAACCATGAGAGGAACCGATCAGACCAGCATCCTGGTTGTTTACATGGTAAAGGGAAAATATCTTATAAGGCTCCATTTATTTCCTTCCAGTAATCTTTTATAACTGGGCCGTCCCAGAAGACATGAGGATGGTTTGCGTTTTGATTTC